CGAGGTAGCCGCGCCCTGGGCGCATTGTGCACCTTTGGGATCGGGTGGTGTGAACGCAGGGAAGGGTGTTAGGGAGTGACGCCAGAGAGGGCGCAGGCGGAGTCTTACAGGAGCAAGCAAGGAGGTACTTCTGAGAGGGAAGTTTGGAGAGGGTTTTCTGTTTAAGGTTTTAATTTATTTTTAAAAGATTTATGTATTTATTACGTATGCACTGTTCTGTCTGCACGTATGCCTGCAGGCCACAAGAGGGCACCAGATCTCATTACAGATGGCTGTGAGCCACCATGTGGTTGCTGGTGGGAATTGAACTCAGGACCTCTGGGAGAGTAGCCAGTGCTCTTAACCTCCGAGCCATCTCTTTAGTCCTTATTTTATTTTTTACGTGCAAGTGTGCCTTTCCTGTATTTATGTGCACCATGTGTGTGCAGTACCAGCAGAGGACAGAAGAGGGCGTTGGATCCCAAGAACTGGAGTCCCAGATGGTTATGAGTCATTATGTGGTTGCTGGGAGTCAAAGCCAGGACCTCAGGAAGAGCAGCCAGTGCTCTTAACTCCTGAGCTGTTTCGACTGCCCTATCTTCTTCCTTTTAAAGGCAGAATAATACTCCCCTGTATGGGTAGACTACACTTGGTTCATCCATTTGTTCACTGGTGATGGCTCTTGTTCTATTAAATGTTTTGTTGTTGTTGTTGTTGTTGTTTCGAGACAGGGTTTCTCTGTGTAGCTTTGGAGCTTATCCTGGCACTTGCTCTGGGGACCAGGCTGGCCTCGAACTCACAGAGATCCGCCTGCCTCTGCCTCCCGAGTGCTGGGATTAAAGGTGTATGCCACCAACGCCTGGTTCCATTAAATGTTTTAAATTACATTTATGGTGTTCATGCATGTGTGTGGTGTACAGGTGTGTGTGTGTGTGTGTGTGTGTGTGTGTGTGTGAAGTAGTTGGTTCTGTCTTTCCACCATGTGTGTCCTAGACACCAAACTCAGGTAGTCTAGTTTATCTGTTAGTGACTTTGACCGCTGAGCCATCTTGCTGGCCCTTGTCCTATTATTTTAGACGCAAAGGTTTCATTATGTAGTCCAGGGTGGCCTTGAACTCCTGGTGCTCCCCTTGCCTCGGTGTCACAAACACTGAGTTTCTATTGTGGGTGACCATGCGTGGCTATTCACGGATGCTTATATTGCTTGCACCTTTGTGCTGTTGTGAACCACACTGTTGTGAATGGTGGTGAGCCAATGACCTTTGAGATTCTCCTTTCGCTGGCAGATTTGCTCAGATGTGGCATTGCTGGATCAAAATAATTGTAACTCACTCTGTAGACCAGGCTGGCCTTGAACTCACAGAGACCAGCCTGCCTCTGCCTCCCAAATGCACGAGGCCTCATTTGCTTTCTTTCTTTCTTTCTTTCTTTTTGTTTATTTGCTTTTTTCATTTGCTTTCTTATTTCATGGAGTGTATATGATGTGTGGATCTGAGAAGACAACCCAAGGGCGTCAGTTCCCTCTTTCCAGCGTGTGGCTACCGAGGATGGAGCCTCTCCCTGCTGAGACATTAAAGCCAAACGCAATGTGGAGTCAGAACTAGATTAATAGCAGATAGTTGATTAAGAAAGTACTCACACAACAGAGTCAGTGACCAGGTTTACACCAGATGCCTTCTAGTCTGCTCAGCCAGGCAGAAGAGAGAAAAGGGCCCACGTGTTCGCCTCCCTCTTACTTAAACCCTTGCTATTTCAGCAATACCTCTAAACAGAATTTTCCCCTACAAGACATCTTGCCAGCCTCAAGGTGCTTAAAGTCTTTATTTTATTTTATTTTACCCGTCTTCCCACCACAGCTTCCCAGGGGATATCCTAGCCAAAGACTTTGCTGACCATGTCAGGGAGAACGAGAAGGACAGCAACTATGGATTCTCCCAGGAGTATCAGGTGGGTGAGAACAGAGGCCTCAGAGGTGGTGCCCGCACACCCTGGCTTCCCAATCCCTTCTGGGTTGCATTTGAACACTGTGTCATCTCTCCAGCCCTTGACTTTATTGGTTTGTTTATTTCTATTTTATGGGTATGGGTGTTTTGTTTGCTTATATGTGGGTGTCCCATGTATATGCAATGCCTACAGAGGCCACAAGAGGGCATTGGATCCTCTGCAACTGAGTTGCAGATGGTTTTGAGAAGCCATGTGGTTGACGGGAATTGAACCAGAGTCCCTTGTTCTTTTTTTCTATCTATCTATCTATCTATCTATCTATCTATCTATCTATCTATCTATTGGGTTTCCCAAGACAGGGTTTCTCTGTGTAGCTTTGAAGGCTGTCCTGGAATTCACTCTGTAGACCAGGCTGACTTTGAACTGACTTTGATCCGCCTGCCTCTGCCTCCCAAGTGCTGGGACTAAAGGGGTGTGCACAATTACCGCCTGATGATAACTTGGTTTAAGCACAAGGACACCCTGACACCTTACCCAGGGCATCTGTCTGAGGAAGCCCCCAGCTTCCCCTAAATCCTCACAAGTACCCCCAATGTTTGTGAGTGGCACAGAGTCTCAAGATTCAATGGGTAAACAGAGGAGGGCCACGTGGAGTCGTGAGGGCGTTGGAGGAAGGCAAAGAAAATCCAGCACCTTGAACCTCTTCTCTGTCTCTCTCTGCCTCTAGCAATTGAGTCTGGAGGGCCAAGGCCAGTCGCAGTCGGCAGCATTGGCTCCAGAGAACACATCCAAGAACCGCTACAAGAATGTCCTGCCCTGTGAGTGTCTGCTATTAGTCACCGTCCTCTGCCTCCCGGTGGAGTCTGCCACAACCCCATTCCTATGCTCTCTCTCTCTCTCTCTCTCTCTCTCTCTCTCTCTCTCTCTCGTATGTGTGTGTGTGATCCATGTTTGCATAGATCAGTATGTATTTATTTTTGTTTTGTTTTTCGAGACAGGGTTTCTCTGTGTAGCTTTGGAGCCTATCCTGGAACTCACGCTAGACCAGGCTGGCCTCAAACTCACAGAGATCCACCTGCCTCTGCCTCCTGAGTGCTGGGATTAAAGGCATGTGCCACCAACGCCTGGCCACTTTAAATTTTGTTTATATATTTATATATTTATTTATTTATTTTGTGTGTGTGTGTGTGTGTGTGTATGTTGTATACAACTGTGCCCACAGAGACCAATAGTTTTGGACCGTGGGAACCCAACATGGGTTCTGGGAACTGAACTAATTTACTCTGCAACAGCAGCAGATGTTCTTTTCTGGCACCATTCATTTTTTCACAGTATTTATTTATTTATTTATTTATTGTGTGGTGGTGTGTGCCACAGCAAATTGTGGAGGTCAGAGGATGGCCAGTTCTCTCCTTCCACCACGTGAGGACCGGAATCAAACTCAGTCTGTCAGGTTGGGTGGAAAGTGCCTTTACCTGCTGAGCTATTTATTTTTTTAATCTTTCCAGACAAGATTTCTTTGTGTAGCCCTGGCTGTTCTGGAACTGGCTCTGGAGACCAGGCTGGTCTCGAACTCATGGAGATCCACCTGCCTCTGCCTCCCGAGTGCTGGGATTAAAGGTGTGCACCACCACTGCCCGGCTCTCACAGCTCTCTTTTCATTGCCGATGCTTCTGTGTTCTCCTAGATGGCTGGTCCCGGGTGCCCCTGAAGCCCCTCGGGGAGGAACCAGGCTCCGACTATATCAACGCTAGCTTCATGCCTGTAAGCTGGCAGTGGTGGTGGTGGCAGTGGGGGGGACACTCAGTCACTCAGTGAGCCTGGAGAGACAAAGAGCTGAGGGGGC